GGGGATCGTGGGTGTCGGTGTCATTTACATCAGAGGCCAGCGAGGCGCCAGTCGGCCATCTGAGACGCTCGACCCCCCCGAGTCCTCGCACTTCATCCTGCTAACTGGGAGATGTGCTGAAAGTTGTGAGCACTCTGAAGATCCGTCGCAGGAAGTTTCCCTCCAGATCGGCAGAAGCACAGCTGCAAAACAAAGTCACGGTTTCAGGTCAAACCTTCAAGATGCAAACGTCGTCTCAAAGAGTCGTCCGTGTGATCGTAGTGCTGCTCCACCTTCTGAGGAGTTTAAACCCAAACTTCTGCCTTAGTTGAATTAAACCTACAGTCAAGTTGAGCGAGCTTCATAAAATCTTCATGCTGAGGTCACGAGTTCAGCCTCATCCCAAAGCTCCATCATTTTCATCTGCAAATGTAAAAACCTCAGTTCTTGTCATTCACTCCATAACAGTTCAAATCAAACATCAGTGAAGCCTGAGTTACAACAGCTTCATCTTTAACTGGAAACTATTCATAAAAATAAAGATTAAACCTCATCCTGTAGTTTGCTGGTTGAACAGAAGTTCATTAGAAGCTCGATGCTGCATTCATTTGATGTATTTTTATTTGTTCTAGTGGAGCTCAGACCGGATCAGCACCGCAAAGCTCCCATCATTTCATTTATCAAACAAAACAAATTAACGTTTTTTTTGTACAACATAAAGTTAAAAGTAGAAACAGATCCTGCAGCAACACACCTGAATGAGGAGCAGACACACAGCGGCCTGGAAACCCTGAAATCACACATCAGTCAGTAAATCATCAACATCTGGAAACGGCTTCTTTCACTGGATCAACATGTTTAAGCAGCAACTTAACCTCTGACAGCAGAAAGTGAAGTTTGCATATTTTGGACCAAACTTCTAGTTGAACAGAATCAATATGTTCAGAAGCTACACCAAGAACATGAAGGATTAGAATTATACTTATGGACAGAACTTGTCTGTTTCATGTGCAGTTCAGGTCTCCAGATGCTAAAAGCATCATCAGTGTGGAGACACAGCATCCAGCAGAACAACAACAAGAGCTTTAGTTTAGTTTTGTTGCTGGAGGCTCGTTTTGTTCAGTTTCACTGGAAAAGCTTCCAGTTGTTGAGAACAGATATTTGATAGGAAATGATTCTGCCTCAGATCCAGGATCCTCCAGAGTCCTCCAGGGTCCTGGGGGCTCCTCCAGAGTCCTGCAGCCTCCGGACCTCCAGCTCTGTCTCCTCCCAGCACGAGTCCCGCCTCTCAGCCCCGCACATAAAACTCCGCTCTTTGTGCGCTTTTCACGCACAGTCGGCGGTTGAAGAAGATACAGGCGCGTCCCGGAGCTGCATCATGTCCACCGGATCTCTCAGCGACGTCGACGACGAGCTGCTGGACGGAATCCTCAAGTTCTCCTCCGGTAAAGACTCCAACGACAGCACCGAGGAGAGCTCCACCGGCGAGGGCCCCGGGGCCGGCGAGGAGCGGGGCGGCGCGCCGGGAAAGAAGCGCAAAACAGCGTCCCGCAAAAGTGCACGGAAGGGCGCGGCGCCGCAGGAGGGCAAGCAGGTGCAGAGGAACGCGGCCAACGCGCGGGAGCGAGCCCGGATGCGCGTCCTGTCCAAAGCCTTCTCCCGGCTGAAGACGTCGCTGCCCTGGGTGCCGCCGGACACCAAGCTCTCCAAGCTGGACACGCTGCGCCTGGCCTCCAGCTACATCGCACATCTGCGCCAGATTCTGGCCAACGACAAATACGAGAACGGATTTATTCACCCCGTGAACCTGGTGAGAGCCGGGCGGAGACTAGAGCCGCAGTCTGGGTAGAGTTTGGGGGGTTTGGAGTCGCGCTGCTGCAGGAATCATTGTCCTAAAACCCACCAGAGGGTCGAATACGTTAAATGATCGGTGTTTATGTAGCTTCTAGCTAAAGTGGAGCTTCTGGAGGTTCTTTTAAAGGAGGTTCTTGTAAAGTGGAGGTTCTGGAGCTTCTTCTAAACGCGGCCTGCAGCAGCAGAAGGCCGCAGACGCTCCGAGGTCACCAACGAAGGAGATTTTTTTTTTGTGCGTAAAGGAGGAAAAAAGCATCCGGACAGTTTATCATGAATGCATAGAAAGAGAAACGTGCAGCAGCTGTTTCTTCAGGTCATAAATTAGAAACGATGCTGCAGCTCGTGAGGCCTGAAATCCAGCAGCAGCTTAAATGTGATTCTGAAAATCACCGTTTGGAGTTTTTACGCACAAAGCAGGAAACAAAAATCAGCTTAAAAACCTTAAAACGTTGTAGAGAATTATTGCATCTGAAGCCAATCAAATATTTAAATTGTACATTAATTATTTAAATTGTACATTAATTACATGTTCTGATCTGAACGTTATACGAACGTTTCCAGGCTGTTTAATTCGATGCTTTTCTGTCTGTGATGAACTCGCTCGTATTTTAAACGTTTCGTTATCTTCACCTTGAATGAGTGCTGTGTGCTAACCGGGTGTTCTCTCCTCAGACGTGGCCCTTCATGGTCGCAGGTAAGCCGGACACGGACCTGAAGGAGATGCTGAACTCGACGCGGCTCTGCGGAACCACCGCGTCCTGACGCGCCTTTCCTCCGACGGAACTTTTTATTTTCCAGGAAACACGAAGAACTGAGTGGGAATAAACGCCCGTAAAGAATCTAATTTAAATGAAGTCTTTGCTGGTTCAAAGATGACCTGCTTGTGTACAGTTTTCTGTGTATATAAAATCTATTTGTACAGCTCCGGACTGCGGCTCGTTTTTTATCAGGATGTCATCAGATAGCTGCAGATGGAGGGAACGGCCTCGAAATGATCCACTTCATCACAGAAACAGTCACTGAAGGAAGTTCAGAGGAACTCAGGACGTTTTCTCACCGCTGGATTAAAAACATGACAAAGACTTAAGTTACTAATTTAAATAAAGCTTTGAAGCTTCAGACTTTATTTTGATGGTTGAACTAAATGTTGATTTCAGACCAGATGTCATTAAATGAAGCTTCGTAACGTGAGTTCAGGGCTTCAGGTCTCCTGATGATTTCAGATCACACTAAAAAACAAAAACAAAAAAAACAAGAATTCAGAAATGACAGTTAGATCCTGGCAGCAAAGAATCCAGATGTTAGAAGGTGGGAAACATCTGAAAACTGATGTTTAAATACATTTAATAAATGAAACAGCGGAATTATTGCTATTTCTAAAAAATACTGAATCTAACATGAGTCTTAGATTTATTCAACAAAACAGGCAAAATCTGTAATAAATAAATGAACACATTAAATATTTACCTTTTAGTATAATTCACAGCAAATAGCACAACAAACATTTGATTTAAATACAGTCTTTGGGGGAAAAAATAAAATTTGAATTTTGATCAAATGCTGTAAAAGAACAAATTAAATTTTTGATGGGATCTGTTTCTTTATTTAGTTTCACAGTCAACAAGTAAATTACAACTTGTTCTGTCTGTAATTTAGCAAAATTATATAGTTTAAATAATAACAAATAATAATTTAGTTTAAAATCTGGTTTGTTTCAGTGAAACCGTTTATTTTATTATTTCAGTGTAATTAGATGATCAGTGATTGTGGTTAATTATGATCTCATTAGAAGCTGCTGAACACGTTCATCACCTTCTAGTTAATTATCTGTGTTTTAATGATCAGTCTGATTCTGTGAAGCTTTAACAACAGAAACACCTTCAGCTTTGTGTTCGATTGTGATCAGAACGGATCAATCGGCCAATCGGCAGCCAGATGGAGGTTGTTTAAAGGTTGTTGAAAGGTTGCAGCAGGGTTGTGGTGTTGCTCTGAGCGCTTGTTTGACTGCCGGGGTTGTGACCGCCGTGTTTACGGCCAGCAGACAGATATTTATGCAGCCGTGTCGACTCGTTTCACCTTTAATCCTCTTTTTCCTCTGAAGGCCGCGTCAACAATAAACAGCTTCCATGAAAGCAGGACCAGCTGCTCACAGACCTGCAGCTCTTCAGCAGATCCTCTCCATCTGCAGGAGGACACAGAGCTGCACACATGACTCAGTAAACCAGCAGCAGCTCCACTTGTTCCACCAGCACATGTTTGGATTTTCTGATCTCTGCCCCAAAGTTCATTTTAATTAAAGCAACAGAAGTCTGATGAAGTTCCTGCAACTTCTGACATTTTAGAGACTAATTAATTAACTAATAACAGCTGATGACGTGTTTCACAGGCTGCAGGTTTATTGGTTTATAACAGATGTAGTTTATTAGAACTTATCTGCAGATCCTCCAGTTAAATAATTCATCACTGGCCTGGTTTGAAATCTTTAGTTTCTGCAGTTTGTCAGTAAAACATCAGACAGTTGTTGTGACTGTAAATCAGAAAAT